TTATTCTACGCCCTATTACACCGAAAAAACAGCTTACTCCGGTGTGTTACTCCTTAATCTATTACTGCTACTGCCCATTTGTAGACGCCGCTTAAGAGTTTAAATTTAACCAATTATAGATTACGATTAAACGGAAATATGTCCGTGAGCGCATCGTAGTCGCACACTTCACGCGAGTACTAATCCATAATTGGCTAAATTTATATCTTATAAACCCTTATATCTTATAAACTATTGCTTAAAATAAAAATTTAAAAATAACTTTTTTACTTAATTTCTCGAAGACTTTCTTGCTATATGATATTTTGATTCGTGAATTTCGGGACACCCTGTATATATACATATATATGTATAATAAGCACTTTTTACAACGTAGAATTATTTCTACTGAATAAAAATACCACGATTTACCCGTACAATTGTCGAATGGAGCGCTGCTATAGCGGCGAATAGAAGTACGGCAAGGATACGACTTCCCGACATGACCGCACTGAGTTTGAATATGAACGAAACTGGACCAGTTTCCGCTGTGAGACCGTGCTAGGTATACGAGACATTATGTCACATAGAGAAAGAGAAAGTCTAAACCACGCGTAACGCGAGAGGTTGAACCCCTTCCATATTATCACCCTATAAGAGATAGGTGCGTCGTTGTCGGTTAATTGCACATCGTGAAACAGAAATTTGGACAAATCATAGGCTGTCGTCATCGTCGGAATTGTGTTGAGATTGGTGCAACTCGATGCAATATAAAATGACATAAAGAGAGGTTTCGTCTTACGATACTTCTTTCCGAAACAAGATATTAATGGCAAAAGAGCTTAAAAGGAAGAAGAAAATAAATTCTATATTTCGGATAAAGTCTTGATATTTTTATTACCAATTACATATTTAAGCAGTTCCTTTTGCAATTCAAAATTATGTCTCCAACATTCTCGCAAGAATCAATTACAGTCACCATAATATTAATTTAAAAAGTTGTCAATAAAAATTTAATGCGGTAAAACAATTAATTATGTTTTGTACACAAAATTCAAATAATATAGATTTAAAAACTATATTATCTTACTCAATTTAAATTTTGTGTAAAAATCATACTTTATGGTAAGAAGGTTTTGTACAAATGCACTTATAAAAATTAAATTTCGATCAAACTAGAAATTTTAATATATTTTAATTTTTTCACATTGATTAAAAAAGTCAATGAATACAACTCACAAAAATAAATAGTTCTTAAATTAGCTATCCAAAGTTTGAAAAAATTAGAACTTATCATCTTAATTCTGCATTTCGTTCGTTGCAATTCAAATAATTAATAATACAACTTTATAATAACACAAGTTGACAAAAAATTTTTAATAAAGACAATGTCTTTTACCAATTAATTACTACATCACGTCAAATTTTAAAGTTATTTTAAATTTAAAGATGAGAGAAATTAGCGATTTATAGGAAAAAATATATAATAAATCACTAATTGCTAATAAAGTAATAAAAGTAGGTAAATAATTTAAACATTAATTTTTTATTAGCAAAGAATAAAGAATTATCTCATAAATTGTAAAAATTGTTTGTTAAGGATACATACACTCCAAATCCAAATGTGTAAATCTGTAGTCACATTTTACGCATTTATACGCGTGTTATATTTTTACACATTTTATTTGTGTTTTACACAGTTAAATGCATATTTTTTACACGCTTACACATATTATTGTAAAATTAACCGTGTAAAAATATGCATTTAACTGTGTAAAACACAGATAAAATGTGTAAAAATATAAATGCGTAAAATATGACTACAGATTCACATACTTGAATTTGCAGTATAGATAAAGTATATAAGTAGAGAAAAACTCTGAATAGTGAATACATATAAAATATTTTATATAAACGGGAGAAAGTATTGAAATGCTTATATAAAACAATAAATAGAAAATAAATGTATAAATATATAAACGGTATGAAAATTTAAAGTTACACAATGATCTTTGCAATTAGACATCATTTTCTACAATTATTCTAATAAATTTTATTTTCTCAAAAGAGATCATAAAATATTTACATCTACACTCTTAATCATGTAACGCCAAAAATTGGAGATATACCTTGAAATATAAACTCTACGTAATAATGAGGGACATAAGTATATCCCTTAAATGTGTACCGCCAAAAATTAGAGGTACACGAAATCTCTTTAATCAATTGTCTTGTCATTTGATCAAGGACTTTCCAAACACTAGCGATACATTTTTACTGCTGAGTATTTCATATTTATAAACACGAGGTACATATGCAAAATTTTGTACCTCGTATAATGTATACGAGGAACGAACTCGGAGCCTTGTACCTCCAAAAGAAAAGTATCGCGAATTCAGATGCCGTACCTTCGGATGCAGAGGAGCAGTACCTCTAATAATTGTATCGCCAAATTTATTATTACCTCGTATATTCCGTGTCTCATGCTAATGTATCGTGAAAAATACCTCCTTTTAGTGTGTAACTCGAAATGTCATTTCCATGTTCAAAAAAATACCTCGAATTTGAAGATACTAGGCAATACATGATTAAGAATGTAGTATTGTTATGATTCTAAATAACTCTCATATTTAAATATTGTCAACGCTTTATGTAGGCAAATAATTTTTTTGTTGATTGTATGAATGTTTAGATATCAATCTTTAAATATGATAACCGATAAAGAAAGATACAATCGAGTTCAGAAATAATAAAATCAGAAATTTTTATTCTTTAATAAAACAAGAAATAATTATAAAAGTAAGTCAGAACAAGTACACAAAAGTTAAGGGAAGATTTAGAGTTTAACTGATTGCAAACACATAATTTCAAGAGTTAAGTCAAAAACAAACATCCTGTTATACATCGCCACGTTTCACATAAAGTTCACTACGTTTTTCCTTAAAAAAGTTGTTTTCGCGTCGCTCTCTGTGAATAGGTCACCGGGTTAAGTAAGAGTCGTTCCAGTCCGTTCAACTTGCTACGAGGAAAAGCATCGGGACGATCGAAGCAGGTCGCGTCGCATCGCGGCTGGCCGCCGCGAAACTTTTTCCACTTGCGGCAATGCGTCAACCGCAAGTCAAGTGAGCCAAGTGAGCGCTCCGTGAGTAAGTACACGAACGCTCGCGTGTGTTCAAGGCGAGAGCGTATACGACGAGAGTGTTATCGAGGATCGACCGGCGGCGATTGTTCCGAGGACAGGTTGTTGGGTGATCGCCCACGCTCCGAGCGATCCGATCCCTCGCATAATCGGCGATCGTAGCACCGGCTAAATGTCAGCCCGGCCCAGGCGGAGCACGGGTTTTATAACGCGCGGCGCGCTCCGCGTGCCCGTGTACTTTGAATATTAATCGTCCGCAGGGTGGTCCAAATGTCGGGTCAGGCACCCGCGAACGATTTGTAGAGGATCCGAGGTAAAATTCGCGAGACGGCCGATGTCCTCTTGTGTTCGAACACGCGAGACACGCGAGCTACTTATCGAGTCCCGATGTGCGCGAGGGGGTGTCTTTGTCATGTTCACGACTGACAGGACGATCTCGATGAATCGATAAAGGCCCGCCCGATCCCACGTCAACGGGGCACGTAATTAATGCGAGACGTTCAAATAGTAAAACACGTATACGCGCGCGTATATATACGTGTGCGTAGATTCGTATAAATTCTCAATAATTTGTGCACATTGTATGTAAATCGCGTGGGATTTATGCGACAGTTCGATCGAGCTAGAGAGATGCAAACTAGACTTTCATCGCGCGGGAACGTATGCGATAGCTTTTACCAGCTCATTTAATAACGTACATATGAACCAACGGATTCTCGGTTCTCCATACACAATTTTTGCTCGTTATTTCTTATAGTTTAACAAAAGACATATTAAACCGGTAAACGAAGTGTTTTAGATCGTGAGAAAATATACCATCAATTAAATCGGGCTGTTATTATCTCTGATGAAATCTCTAAAGACTTTCCTTAAATAGACGCATCATTATATTTATAAATAGCTTTAGCAAAAGGTTATGAGAAAAATGAGTTAATTAAAGAAATGTACAAGGAATTTGCACAAATCTTTCCACTACGACTATGAGCTCTATTAAAAACAACTTGACGTTTAGATACGTAAAATATCCTCAAGATTTTATTTTCAATGTGTATCAGAGTCGTTTGTGTGTTTTTTTTTCACACAAAGCAACTTTCTCTATGCGTCTTATTTTTTTTCTTTCCTCTTGACAAAGAGAATTTATCGCCTCTATCTACTGTCGCGCAAAGCGCCGCCTCTACAAGCGAATTAATTCGTCGTTGTCGATATACCCGCGAGATCGACAGGCGAAGATAAACGTCGCGCGCGCGCGGCGAAGTATTAAATTTCGCTCGCGAACGCGCGAACGATCTCGTTCTCTCTATTTTCGCGTACAAAGCACCTTCTCGCCCCTCCGTCGACTAATCGAGTTTAATCTCTTGATTCGCATCGGTCGAGTTTTTTTTTCGTCCCTCGCCCCGACACGCGACATCGCCTCCATCGCTCGCCGCACAATGCGCGTTTGTTCATCGAGCCTTCGTGCATCCGGCGTCTCTCTCTCTCCCTCTTCTCTTTCTGTCTCTTGCCTAACCCCCCCTCCCCGCCTTTCTCCTCTTTTTTCGCTCTTTCTCTCTCTCCTCCTTCTTGTCCCTCTACACTCTTATTAATTTCGATGACTCGCTCTCGCGGATGATGGCGAGTGCACGTCCAAACGCCGGACACTCGAGCCTGATCACCGTATTCACTCGAACAGCGCGAAAACGAAACGTCGCGAGAGACCTTATCAATCTTCTCCGAACAGAAACGATCGATTTTATCGTCGGATAAGATACGGGTGTCTCGTGTCTCTCCGATATACATAAAAGGACGAATGTTTTACTTTCGCCGTTGCGAAATACGGAGCAGCGATGTTTGATTAAATCCCGGTGCGGGTATATACGCGATATCGAGAATTATATATGTGTATATATATATGTATATGCTACGCGTCCACTTACTTTGACAATCGGCAACCGTGGGCGAGCCCTGTGTGCTGGCGGAATTCCCGTTGGCGGTGGACGACTGGACGGCACCGAGACTACGGTAACCCTCGTCGGACACCTCGCTGCAATTGTCCGAGTGCTCTCCGTCACCGTGCGGTGACTTCTGGGTGTTCGCCGTGGTGTCCTTGCCAAAAGTCTCGAGGGCCGGCTGCTCCTCCTTGCTCGGCGTCGGGCTGCGGCTGCCGCTCGAGTCCTCGCTGCACTTGTAGTTGTAGATGGACGGTTCGTACTTCGGTGTGTCGTCCCTCTCGACGGCTCGGCGTGCCACGCCGCCCTCCACGACGTATCGTTTAGTGAACTCGCCCGGCACCTTAATACCGCTCTCCTAAACAGCACAAAAAGAATCCCGCATTGTATATATCTTTTCTTCAGTGTATTTTACTTGAAAAATTATAAGCATAGCGCAAAAAAATTATCATGAACTTTCGCGTCACCGAAGCTAATGTAATGAAAAGTAATTCCGTTATGTCTTCAAAAAAATAAGTTTTTAAAAAGTATATCGAAATTTAAAATGGCCTTTGTTCTAAAAGCTATATCGGGTTTCTCTTTAAAAATATATTTCTTACGAAAAAATAAAAGTAAACTTACTCGGCCATTTTCCTGTGATTTCCCATGATACGTTGGCGACCGCGCCTCTTCGTTGGCATTTCTCCTGGACGAATCCGTGTTCTTCCGCGGTGTCGGGCTCCTCGATCTCAGATTCGCCCTAGGCGTCGGCGACCTTGATCTCTGCTTCGCCAAGTCGGTCTGGTGATTCGGGCTCGCCAGCAATTTCCTATGCGGCGTGGGACTTCTCGAGCGCTTCTTCTGCTCGTCGCACGATTGCTGCTGATGCTGTTGCTTGCTGCCGGCTGTCGGCCGGTGAGGTGTGGGCGATCGCGAGCGATTGCTGGAAATGCTTCTGGGTGGTGCGTGCAGCTGCGCCGATTGTAGATTTTGCACCGAGCCGACGCTCGACGCGGAACTCCGTCGAGTTCTCGGAGGTGATGATCTGGTGGCGGAAACAACGGCCGGGGCGTTACGGCGGAATTGATGTCGGTCGTTACACCGGGTCGTGCTGACCGGGTGTGCGCGCCGCGTCGCGCCGGGGGAATTTTCAGTTTCCGCGATGGCGACGAAATGTCACGACGTTCTACAGTATCGCCCGTAAGTGTCGCGAGCGTATAAGATAAGATCAGCGAGATTTATAGGAAAAATCGCCAGCGTTAGTAAAATTACTTCACGCTTATTTCTCGTATATAAAAGCTAAAGGAGATATAACACACGTACGGTACAGTCTGCATTTTCACAAAAGGCTATTTCTCTTTCATGTAAATCTAATGCACTTACGAACGGTACTGTGAGCTGCACAATGTATGCACAACGCGTGCATCCATGTATTTTACTACCCTATACAGAATGACTTGCGATAGAGAATGTCCATAGTTCAGGCAGCGTATAGCTAATACAACATCGGGTTTACAAACTGGATGGTATTTACACTCAAAATGTCGAGATAGGCGAATCGATAGGCGATAATCATGATTGTATATCATATCCCACACAGAAATGTCCAAAATATATTGTAGGGGTATATCCTAAAGATATATTTCGAATATGTGATATCTTTAGGATATCGCGCTATAATGTATTTCGAATATTTCTGCTCTATGGGATTAGCATTGAATATTAGGTAAAGACTACTAATTTCGAAATAATAAAAAATTAGTTATTTAGCTATTTAAAATTAGCCTCAAGAACCACTCGTGCAAGATAGCGTAAGATAGAAATTTCTTAAATTCAAAAATAAATTTCTAACGTTGTGTATATAATTTTAATAATGCAATAACAAATGAGCGTGTAATTAAAACTGAGTTGTAATAAAAAAGCAGGTACTCACCGTTCGTAATGCACCTGCGCGTTGCCCAGATCGAAGGATCCACCGGCTTTTTGAATGAGTTTTGCTGAGACCATCGAGCGATGTGCTAAAAAAAAAGTTAAAAAGAATTGGTCGTTAGATTCGTTTAAAATGCAACTCGATTAACGAAAAGGATCTGATGAAACAGGGTGCGATACTCACAGTTTCTGCATCGACATGGATCGTGTTTCTCCAAATAGTGGCTGAGGGTATCCCATCCACCGCCGACACGCACCATCACGTGACTACGCAAAACCCGGACGTAGATCGTGACCTTGGTATCACCGATCCGATACTTACCCTCAGCCACATGGATCATCGGAAACTGTGTCGGACACGTGCACTCCTCTACGATATCGCGAACCTGAAAGCAAGAAATAATCGCCACATTGTATTGATGTTATATATTATTTCACATGTATATTATAGAATGAAAAAGATCTAAATTTTATCATTTCTTTATTTTTATATAATTTCTTTAATTATTCAAGATTTTTTAATTGTATGTTTTCTTCTATAATATTTGTAACATTAAAACGTTGAACTAGTTTTCTTGTTTTCTAACAGATAAAGGATTCGAGTAAAGGGTATATTTGTTTTATATTTTGGTATTGATATATAACATTCTTCTTATAGCACGCATATTTAGCATTTTTTTCGACGACTCCCAAATATAAAATGTCTAGAAAATTTTAATATCAAACATTATAGATCGTTATTTTTACCAATGCATTTTTTTCTTCTTCTTTACCTGTATACTTCAACAAATATATCCTTTAATTCTAAGAAATAGCACGAATGATATATTTTTAGATTAAATCGTAAACCACAAACACGTTAAAGATACGTTGGCTGATTTTTTCTGTTTTTAAAAGCACCTTCGAAACAAAACTCAATCTGGTTTGTCTATTGCATTGTTTTGTGAAGTAATAACCGCCGAACCGAAAGGAGAGAGAGCATAGAACGCCTCCGGTAATTAGTAGGAACGAAACGAAATTCTCGGAAGTCGCGCCAAGATGGGTTCCCAGTGGACGTCCATCGTTTCGTTAACAAGGCCGCAGAGAGCAGGTAAAACCGCTCGAGTTCGTCTTTCGAATCGCTTTCAGCGACGGTCGCTCACTGAGTCACGTTGAACAAAAACGCGAAGTCGCTCGTGTAAGATCAATTACCAGCTCGGGAAACCTTGCTTTTCCTCACGAGAAAGTCGCTCCTGCTCGCGGCGTAACGAAGGAGAGGTCGCGCGTCGCGATTTTGTCGGCTGCTTCGCACGTTGCGAACATAACGATCGCCGGTTTATCCACGTAACACGAATCACGAAAGTTGTTAACCTCTTACTATCAGTTTTTTTTTCTTCCAGTTAAATAGATGTGTATTTCTATGAAAATTTGCGAAATAAAATGATCATTAAGATCTTTGCCACTTCGTAGCTCTTTATATGTTGAGAAATCAATTTCACAAGTTCTACCTCTCTCGGAAATGCTTAACTTCTTCATTCGTACGCTTGACATTCGAAAGTCTCGTAAAGTCATAAATCCCAGGAAGGGCGGGTTATTCACTTGACAACCGGCGCGGCGAAAGGGATCGTTTCCACAGACGACTTGCGAGCGTCCGAATTAGAAAGTAGAGATAATTGCGCGCATTAAAGTCCCCAATTCTTTAACATTGAAGAATCGTCCCTTATTATGAAACGAGCTCATTTCACCTCTCCGACAGAAATGCAAGAATGAAAGAGACTTCTTTTCCCTTATCTCGAAAACTTTCGAAACGCCGAGCTCGAGCTGGCGAGTTCGGCTGGAAGGAAGAGATAGGCAAGCGTGTCTCTTTATCGCCAAATAAGATAAAATCGTTCCTATAAAGAAAACTGCGAAACGATTCATGCTCGCGTTTACGTCTCGGTGTTTACGATCATTACACTCGTTGCGCAGTATCATTTAATTTCCACCGAATAATTGTAAATTGCGCGCGTGTTTCGTGTTTTAATGATTGATTAAGAAACGAAGAATTACATGATTCAGAATCTATGATTCATTAAATAAAAAAAAATAAATTAGACAATTTGTCATGCAAAGAAAAGCAATATGAAAATATTATCAAAAAATCAAGAGAACTCGTTATATTTAGCTTGAACTTTTTAAATATAATAATTGAACAATGGAAATGATAAAATAAATTTCAAATTCGTGTAGTCAACAATAGATAAATATGCTAAGACTATGCTATAATTTCAAACTTTATCAAACCGTACATATTTAAAAGACAAATGTTTTGTAACATGCATTAATTATGAATTTATTTAAAAAAAAGGATTTATTAAAATAAAATAATTTATAAAAAAATATATTCAATTTTAAACAATATGTTGGAATAAATAGAATTCCATATGTGTGCCGAGTTGTTTTTACATGTAAAATGATACTGGCTATAACATAAGAAGTTGAAGAACCATCTGGTAGCGTACACAAGCCCTCCTACCACTGACCGATTCAATTCCTCAACACCGTCAAAGTGACGTCCCCGTCGGCGTCGCTGACGATTTATTGTCCCGCTGTGTGGGTACACGCCCGCGATCGATGGACCGATCGCGATACCCCTTTGTGTACTCCCTTTCTCTCCTCCCGCGCGGCGTTATCGATCGGATCGGCCGATAAACCCGGCAGATCGATCGATCCGCCGGCGCGGCGTGCATGGTGTCGCAGAACGACGCGCCGTGCGGTGTGTGTGCAGCGGCTTTCGCTTCATATTGATCGCGGCTGGGTCCGGTGGTATCGCGGTCGCAAATCTCGCGCCGATACAACACGCGAACACGCGTGTCCTTGGGCGTTCACGAGGCAGGGCCACCCACCGTACCCCGGCGACGTCACTGACGTAATCATTTATCAATGAGCGCGCCGCGCGCCGATATTCCCCGCCGGAAGTGATCATTAGCCGGGGCCGGGGGTATCGATGATCGCCGATCGGCGAGGTCGGCAGTTTATCGGCGCTCTTATATGCGCGCGCGTGCGCACGCGCTTATCGAGTCATCGAGGCCGCGATTTACGACGCCGAGGGTGTTCCGTTTGTTTCTTGACCCGGCAGCGGTGGCAGCGGAAGGTGTTCCATCTCATTGTTATTTTTGTGCGTCTCGATGAGGAACTGTGTCTAAACGTGCACGGCAATTAGTTATGTTTATCGCGGAGAAGCGAGCAACGAGAGGTGCTACTACCTGTTTAGATTTTCTAGAGATAGCCGGGGCTTCTCCTTGGAAGCTGAAAAATATTTCCCTACTGCTTTTGTCTCGTCTGCTTCTTATTTTTACTTTTTTTTTTCTAATACATATGAATTATTTCATAATTTGTTTCAAGAGAAAACGATTTGGTTTCTGCAAATAATTTCAACATTTTTTTCGTAATTTTTATTAGATTTTATAATAATTTTCCAATCTACACTTTGATATCCGTATACTTCGGTAATCGCGTTTATTTAATATCATCTTTATCAATAATTTCCTCAGTCGATTTTATTTTGAACTTCTCTATAGTTTGAAGATCAGAATTTTCTCTGCAACGGACATTAAATCGGCCACGCTATCGATCACTCTCCCTTATCGCCGAGTCGGATCACCTTAAATATACAGAATGTCTATGGGAGATCCAATCTAACTCCAAGAACGTGTTTTACTGGTTCCCAAGATCGACCCAGATCCAAGCATCATGTACATGTCCGTATTTACAATCAGTTACGACTGTTTGAAATTCATTTTACATGTCAGACAAATTGTTCGGACAGTTGGGAAACCATGTCCACCGTTCAGTTTATGTATATACGCGCTTTAATCCCTTCCAGGAATTCTGATGAGCAGGATCATTTATATTCAAAGAAAAGGCATTATCGAGGATACCGGCGAATCGCGTCATAGAATGTTAATTACCATACAAAATTCTGACTTGTCAAGGACCATTATATTATACAAAATCTGCGAGTCGAGGTGTCTCGTACTTCCAGTTAGCACGCTCTTAAAGATTTCTTGGTAAGAGCTTGGAGACATCCTGTACGTCGGTCTACGTTGCCTACGTTCAACGGCATGCTTTTGACACTCGCGACGATAAAAAAATTATTTATCGATACCGCCGTCATTCCGCTCGCAATGTGTAATACAACACGGCCGCGTCGTGCGAAATTCTTGGTCACGGACCGCTGGGGAGTAGACACGTGGCCAGAACACCGCGTTTTCCCGCCGCCGCGATTGCCAGTGACACTTTTCCAGCGGACGATTTATACGGACCGCTCGATAAATTAACAAACGTACGCGCGGCTGCGGCTGTCGCGGTCAGAATTTTCTCAATGATGTAAGACGACGCGAATATTTTTTTACTCATTGTATCTCGAGGTGTTAAATAATCCATTGCGCAGAACATTACGTCGCGCTGCGAGCGCAAATATGTTCGCAACAAGAAGATATACATGTAATATCCGTACAGTAGTTGTGACATACCTATACGTTGCTGACATGGTTGCATAGCTGCAAGTTTTACGAAGAAACTGTCGTATCATTGTAGAACGTAAATACGGAGATTTTGAAACGAGCAGGATATATTTAGCATTAAAGTACCAATGTCATATTGATAAAATTTATCGTATAATTTTCATTATATAATTTTGTCGCAGAATGACGGTAATATTAAGAGACACATCGAACAAAAAAATATTCCCAATTTAAATTATCATTTATGAGATGAATATTCTCAGAATTCCAATATCAAACTACATTAAGTTGTCATATTATGGTAACAAGTTTCTTACCTCATCTACCTCTTAATTATCATAAAAAGTCGATCGATTTCGTCCCTCGAATTTCGTGACCTCGGATTGTTATGCATTAAAAACTCCGCGCGTGTCTCCGACGCCAAACGCCCTATCTCGCAAGTCTGATTCCAATCGCGATTGACAAATTGACGCGTTACGTAAGAGGGAATTGAAAATCTCAATGTTCGAACGAGGTATTCGTGGAAGGAAACAACGCTCGGTAAATCATCGCGAACGAGCGTCCCATTGCGGATTCCGAAGGCGTCCCGGCTGACGTCGATTGTGAGCTTCCACTTACGTCACGTTGTCTCTCCTTCCAAATATTTAATCAGGTCGCGAACGAATCCAGTCGCATCGCGTAGCGACCGTACCGTTCGATAATTAATAAGCTGCGGATACTGGCGTGTGCGCCACGAGTCGTGGGCGTTGCCAGATATTTTTCACGAAAAACGTCGTAGGAAACGTTAAACTTTTTTAGCAATTTTTTTTTAAATCTAATATCACGATTATTTTTATCGTTGAAATCTGTTTAAAAAGTGCATTCATACATTAACTGTAACATATTATTTTATAAACATTCAA